GGTTATGTCTGTGAAGGTAAACTGCTGGGAAATAAATCGCATGTTTATTTTAGATCTGTTTGGCAGCAGCAATATGCAGTAAATAAATCAATAAATCCACTGCTCTCTTGTCTCCTCTGAGGCTGAGACTCTAAATAGTGTTCTGTGCTCGTCTGTGCAGCCAAAGACAGAACAGTTAGCATGTTTTGCTTAAACTTTCACCATCGTATTAGAACTAGTACACCGTTGTCGATTGCGAAATCAAAATGATGGCCCCTTGGGTGGAAACTAACAGATTAAGGGGTGGTAATATTATAATGTGTTCCCTTAGCCACGTCACCAAGGGAGCGCAATCTGAGGCGCTCGTTTTTTCAGACGCTTGCAGAAAAAGGCTTCCCAAAACAAAGTTACTGGGTCAATATTTTTCACGTTTCCTTGGTTGGTAGATGCACCGGGGACCTGATTATAGCACTTAAAACCTGGAAAAGTCAGATTTTCATGATATGTCACCTTTAAAGGAATAGTTCACCTAAAGATTAAAATCTTTAGGATATCTTGGAATGGTGTCACATAGGACCATTGCAAACCCAAATTCTGTCGTTCTCTCTCTGTATAGGCTCTCTCAGCTGGAGGTGTGGGCTCCATCGTCAGAGTGCTCACGGCCAGGAAGACTGTGTAAACTTCAGCACTGAGGCAGGGTTGGCGGAGGGACTGGCTGGCACAACCCCTCGTGGTCTGGTTTCTGGTTTCCCACACTGCCAAACTTTGGAGGATGTCCAGTCACTCACCTTTTTTTTTTTTTTTTAAACGATCAAACATTACAGTGCCATTTGGATTTCTTGCAGTGAAGATAAGCACCTTGGATCTATGTTAACAGAACGGTAATGAGAAAATGTTATTGTTGACCTCAGTAGATATTAAGCACAGACATTTTAGCTATTATCAAAGGAAAGTCTCTTTACTCGTCTACTTCACGTACTTCACATTCTCATACCTGTCCTGATGTAAAGTCTCAAAAAACAGAACAAACAGTACATGCAATTACATGACTCAATCTTCGCAGTGGTATGTGATGCTACTCTGGAATTGTTGTTTTTTTGTTGTACTCAAAGGGATAGTCCACCCAAAAATGAAAGTTATGTCATCGTTTACTCAGCCACATGTTGTTCAAAAACTGTATGACTGGAACATAAAAGAAGATATTTTGAAGTCCAAACCACGTTCCATGTTTTCTTGTGTTAAACAGAGGAAAGAAAGTCAAACACATTAAGATGACAGCGTTTTCATTTTTGTGTGAACTAGCCCTTTAAGGTGATCAAGCTTTAGTTCGTAGGATTCTTACATTACACTCTCTTCTTTTTAAAACATAATCAGAGTTGGTCTATTAAACATGCCAACATCAGTATTTGCTTTTTCCTACTTGCATTGCATTGCATTATATATAAGTTCAGAGCTGGTTGTTGAATCTAGCCTTATATGAACGCCTGTGCTTTCCAGCTCAATTTCTTGTGATCAGAGTGCTTATTTTCCTCCACAGTCCCTTCAGTAAATCATGCCGTTTCTAGCATCTCTTTGGTTTCATATTCTACCGGGATCACGTTTTAAGAAACAAAAAAGGGAATAACTTTTCTTAAGTTGCCAAAAACGTTTTTATTGTCATAATTGTTGATGAATACTAGTGTGTTTTTGTACTCCCTACAAAAACGATGAGTTTAATTTTTTATAACGCTGAGTATTATTAGATTGTCCAACAAAAGCTTATGTATATTTTGATCACAGCATTTTTGAACTGTATTAGATGTTAGCAGTTGTAGAACATGATTAACATCAACATGTACTTATATATATATACATATACATACATACATATATATATATACATATATGTATATGTGTACACACATATATATATATATACACACATACATATACATTGTAGAACATGATTAACATCAACATGTACTTTGAACTCAGACTTTATGTCAGGTGCTGATGATATAGCTAACCTCTGAGACACACAAGTGTTTGTGTACGCTCACAATTCCCACCAAACACACAGCTAGCACTCAAGCTGCGATGGAGAATTTTGCTTCCACTGTGGTCTGCTTGTTTTTGCCATACTTGAAGCCATACATAAACAACCCTAGGAAGTCTCCACTTGTTCATTTACGATTCCAAGTGAATGTTGTGTTTGCATCACACCAGTCAATCACATGGTTAAGTGCAAAAATTATGAAATGGTTTACCAACTGCCTTATAAAAATATTCCTTTTATATCGTATGGTCCTTTTGAAAAATAAATGAAATTAATACAAACGTTGTCACTTCTTTTCCATATTTGTAGATTATGCAAACCTAAAGTGCTGTTTGAGGTGCGTGAGAGATGTTTGTCTACAGTGTGACTGTTATTATAGTTGTTATAAATTGAAACTATAAAAAAAAAACATTTTCATTATATGAAATAAAAGAAATTTTAAATTAAAAAAAAACTTCATTTAATTATAGCTTGTTGCCAAGGCAGCATTTCTCATTTTATTTTAGTTTAATTCATATATATATTATACACACACACACACATATACACGCACAAAGAAAAACAAGTAGATAGAATAGAAAAAAATAGAAAGCTAGTGTTTGTTTGTTTTTTGTTGGGTTTTTTTAAATAAAAAAATAAAAAAGAAGATAAATATAGATAAAGTAGAATTAAAATAGAATGGAAAGTGCTAGAGTTAGAGGGTCAAATAAAGGTGGAACAGGTGTGTTTTTAGTCGCTTTAATGATGTGCTAAAATAACTGAAACTAAAATAAATAAAAATAAAATTAAACAACCTATTTACAATAATAATAATGAAAATTAAAAAAATTAATAAATCCAAAACTATCCCAAAAAAATCCATTCCTCCCGTGTCCATCCCCTGTTGTCCTCTCATATAAAAATCAACCAACATATTTGTTTAGAACCGTTTTGGACGGTTTTCGCTTGTTAACGGTGTTTAACCTGTGCATATTTCTCTCCTGATTCAGGCGAGAAGACCTTTTCACTGGAGAAAGCAATATTATTGAGAGAGGACTTTTGGTTTTAGCCAGAAACCAACTGAAGTAAAAGAGCATCTTAATCATGGATTTGTTTCTTACAAACACGCAGCTTTTCACTTCAGAAGACATTAATTGATGGTCTGGAGTCGTGTGGGTAACTCGTAGATTGTTGTGATGTTTTTAATCAGTTTGGACTCTCATTCTGAGAGAACCCATTTCTGCACCCATTCACTGCAGAGAATCCACTGGTGAGCAAGTGATGTAATGCTAAATTTCTCCAAATCTATTCAAAGAAACAAACTCATCGTCATGTTGAATGACCTGAGGGTGAGTACATTTTTTTTTAGCCAAAATATGCACTGTGATGTTATTTCGCTCAGGGCTTTTCATATCAGTCACATGGGGGCGCTGTTTCCTTTGCAATTATTTGCACTGTATTTTGTAGATGTAAAATTCTTATATCTCGTTTAAATGTGGGTCAAAAGAAGTGGCATCATGTGACAAGTTCATAGATCAATGATAATATATATGGAGTGAATGTCCTTTGGAAATATTGATAAAGAAGTTATTTAGATTTATTGGGTTTGTGATTTCATGGGAATGAAGCTCTCCTTATTCCAGGTCATTGATCCAGAGCAATAAAGGCCTAACAGAAATCAATAACACAATGTACACTGTTTATTTTGATTTCTCGGAAACCAATGCATCCAAAAAATATTATAGAGAGAAGAGATATGGCATTCCTGATGTCTTATATAAGACTGAGAACCAGAGCAGGAGTGGGTGGATAACTATGAATTAAATATACACTCTTACACAATACAGCAAGATACGGTGCTGATTGCATTCAAATGCAATTCAAATAATCAAAACCAGGATTTCAAAGAAAAGGATTCAAAGATTTAGGTCTGTTCCCAAAAAAGAAGACCTACTTGTATATTTGATCACAAACAGTTATTTATTGATATCAGGTATGACTACCAGGAGTACTGACTGCTGATAAGAATCACCTGGAAATCTGCCAGTTTCACTTCTTCGCAGTAAAGGGCAATGACAAGGGGTTTTTGTTAGTATTTTTTTTTCTGGATATATTATTACCACCAACATTTACAAAAAGCTGATTTAAATGTCAACATACCTCAGTGACAATGGTCTGACAAGTCCATGGTATCGAAAACAAAAACTAATAAAATGACACAAAATGGCTATAAATGTAACTAAAATGTGAAAGTATAAACAATATAAAAATATAAAATAATGCAGAGTCCCTGACTATATTAAAGAGACAGCTGAAAATGCATCTCTTCGTGAGCATTTAACCGCATCTTAAAAATATATAAAAATGTAATTACAAAATGATATATTAAAAATGAGTAATTAAAAAATGTACATCTTTATATATATATACACATACACACACACACACTGCTGTTCAAAAGTTTGGGATCTCTTATGCTCATCGAGGCTGTATTTATTTGACCAAAAATACAGAAAAACCAGTAATATTGTGAAATATTATTGCGGTTTCTAATATTGGTTTCCTGTTTTACAGTTTTTTACGATTGCTTAAGCACAATTTTTGTGCAAATCTAGCCTTGTGTTTTGCTCCTTGAGTGTAAGGTTTTGCTAATTGTTGGAAAAGTTTAATTTTAGTGTGTAAGCAATCGTAAAAAACTGTAATATACTTAAAAATATAATTTATTTCTTTTCATCAGCCATTACTCCAGTCTTCAGTGATCCTTCAGAAATCATTCTAATATGCTGATTTATTATCAGTGTTGAAACTGCACTGCTTAATATTTTTTTGGAACCTGTAATACTTTTTTTCTTTGATTCTTTGATGAATAAAAAGTTAAAAAGAACAGCATTTATTCAAAATAGAAATCTTTTCTAACAATATAGTCTTAACTATCACTTTTTATCCATTTAGCAATAAAAGTATTAATTTATAAAAAAAGAAAGAAAATATTTACTGACCCCAAACTTTTGAATAGTAGTGTATATTGTAACACAAAATTTCTATTTTGAATAGACATTGTTCTTTTTAACATTTATTTAGCAAAGAATCCTGAAAAAAAAGTATCACAGGTTGCAAAAAATATTACCAGCAAAACTATTCCCAACACTGACTATAAATCAGCATATTACAATGATTTCTGAAGGATCGTGTGACACTGAAG